CAGAATTTCTCTACTCGGCAGACCCTAGAGAGGCATTTGGCGAGATCAGAGAATAAAGGGGCTTGCCATTCTAAAAAGTCCAAAGATTACTATCAGCGAAGGTAGCGGAACGTGGTGTCTTATTTCAGAATGCCATTGACTCATTCCAGGCCACAGCTGTATAGGAGCCATAAGTGAGGATAATCTCGCATGTAACATGGTGGAACGTTGCTTTTAAAGTATGTTAATCTCTCGAATCTTGAGTGATAAGAAATTTCCACTAGGTATTCCTTACCTCACATCAATTCAGCGCAATGTTTTATTTTATTATTCTTACTTGGTTGCTATGGTTACTTAGTTAATATACCGAAAAGCTAATACCTAGAACACTGCTCAAACTCTATTTACGCCTTTAAATTAACGTATTCAGATGCCAACCATTTATTTTAACACCATCCATCCAGGACTTTACTTTTTGATTACTGCTATGGTCTGGGCTCGTGACTAGTGTTACAATAAAGCATTGGATTACACAATATCAATAGGATATAGTCAAAAATGCTGAGGATTGAATAGTTCCAAATCCCTATAATTTGGTATTTACTGTACCGAATGTTTCTCATTTGATGCACATTAGTTACCATAGTTACACTACTAGTTACCATAGTAACATGCACATTACATATAATTACTGCACAGTAACCATGGTAACAAGGATTGCTACATTACATATAATTACTGCACAGTAACCATGGTAACAAGGATTGCTACATTACATATAATTACTGCACAGTAACCATGGTAACAAGGATTGCTACATTACATATAATTACTGCACAGTAACCATGGTAACAAGGATTGCTACATTACATAAATTACTGCACAGTAACCCATGGTAATAAGGATTGCTACATTACATATAATTACTGCACGAGTAACCATGGTAACAATGATTGCTAATTACATATAATTACTGCTCAGTAACCATGGTAACAAGGATTGCTACATTACATATAATTCAGTTATCCTACCTAACGTGACGTGTTTCAATTTTCCAAAGGTTAAATTTCAGACATTAATAAAGCATAGGAAAAACAGTAAAACTAAGGTTTTGATTATTCAAATCGAAATTTCGTCAAAAAAATGTATCATTTAGATAAAGTTGTGTCAAGTAAATTATCCTAAAATTCCAAACTTTTGAGATAGATACCAACCTCCTGGGAGGTGCCCGTTCTGCGACAAAGCAATTGGAAGACGGCACGACCTCAAGAGGTACATCCTAAACATTCACCAGCACGTCAAGCCCTTTCAGTGTGAGAGTTGCAAACAAACCTTTGCACGGCGACACCACCTTCATAGCCACCAGAGGAAGTCTCGAGTCGTCGGGTTTTGTCGGGGCCGCCCTCCCGCTGAGGATAAAGATTCATGGTACACTACTAGTTACCATAGTTACACCACTAGTTACCATAGTTACACTACTAGTTACATGGTATGATTGGATGCAAAGCTTGACTCACCCGACCCCTGAATGATTATTATTCCGCCATAGGACAACTGGAGTCGGCGAGCAGCGTGCTTATTTTGGTTTTGGACTTTTTATTGGACAATGTTTTGCATGGTGTTACTTCACCTTATATGCTTTTATATATTCATTAAATTATTGACTTGTTTTGGATTATTAAAAGACGGAAGTAAAATCAATTTAAGTTTTGAAGATTTTATTAAATCGAAAAATATGTAAATTGACTCTTCGTTCTTCCATTTTCTATTCTGTTCGTTAAATTTTACACAAATATTATTTCCGATCATACCTTGTTAAATATATTTATAGTATTTTACATTTAGATTAAAGTTACTGCATGTAGGTATGTGGTGTTGGAACCTTTTCGTTCCGCATCCTGCGTAACCTGGTAACCTGCCGGTTGTTAATTTTTATCAGCATGAAGATATAGTTTTTTAGATTTTGTCTCGGACCGAAAAGGTGGCGAGAGATAGCTAGTAGTAGTAGATAGCAATCTTTAAAATAAGGTTGAAACGTTATCTGAATAATCTTTTGTAGATTATTATTGGATCTGAAGTTAATTAGTTAAACTTGACGGCTGATATTGTTCGCGACTGGAGATTTTAAATAAGTATTTGTAGGTTAAAATCTACGATAGTTAATAAATTTTTGGTCGTGGTTTGAGATCCAATCAAAAGCACGCGACCCGATAAAAATTACAGCGTAAAAACAGTAGTGCTATTAGCAAACAATAAACATAAATAATGATGAATCGCTGTTCAGTGTGTAGGATCTCCAAAACTCTCCCTATTTTAGACTCTTTGCTCACGTGGTAACCTGGTAACCTGGTAACCTGGTAACCTGGTAACCTGGTAACTCTCCCTATTTTAGACTCTTTGTTCACGTGGTAACCTGGTAACCTGGTAACCTGGTAACCTGGTAACCTGGTAACCTGGTAACTCTCCCTATTTCAGACTTTTTGCTACGAAGCAGCGGTGGTGTCCCCGTCGGTGAACAATGTCCTTACTGCACCAAGATGATCAGTAGCCGATCCAACCTCAAGAAACACATCCGGTCCATCCACCAGCAACTCCGTCCGTTCCAGTGTGGAGACTGTAAGCAGACCTTTGCACATCACCATCATCTTAAGGCTCATCGGAAGGCGGCGGAGAGGAAGGGAAGGTGTTTTCCTAACCGCAAGACTCCTGATGATCCACTGAAATTCCTGTTTCTGGAGTAGTAATAGGGGGACTGGGGAGGGTAGTAATGTTTTCCTAACCGCAAGACTCCTGATGATCCACTGAAATTCCTGTTTCTGGAGTAGTAATAGGGGGACTGGGGAGCAGAGGCGGCCTCTGCTGGGGAGGGTGGTAATGAATAATGTAACGAGGAGGCTTCTATCTTGTGGACTGTGGAGTTGTTGCCGTAACGAGAATTGAACCAATCTTGCTCAACATTTAATACTTTTCATTTTACCTCATGGTTTATCGGAAACTCTCGGCGGGAGCTCGATGAAATGTGCCATTAAGGGGGGGGGGGGGGGGGGGGGGGTTCCATTAGCTTGAATTGTAAATTCTATCAGTCCAAATTTGTGTAATAATATGAGTGAGAGTTCAGGATTGATGAAAACTGGTTGCAAATTCTAAAGGTTCCGATTGAGGCTGAAGCATGACGAGGCTGATCATTCGATGGGGTAATTTCAATAGTGATGCCGGACTTTACGATCAATTTACTAACACTTGCCTGAATGTTGATCGTTGGCTGATAATTGTGTTAACTGATGAATTGTATCTGCGTTTAATCGGAACAAGAGTTTTAGGAGTTGCTATTAAGGAGCGTCAAGTAGTGTTGCCATGGTAACAAGTAGTGTTATCCAATACACGAGAATTTACCAGATCTACAGTTAATGAGTAGTATTTAATAGAATTAGATAGAGTACAAATTACAATAGGAAATTGGGAGATAAGGTCTGGCCTAAGGCCAATATACAATGTTGATACAGACGATATTCATATAGATTGCTTGGTTAAATGATAGCTTGATAGGGTGGTAATGCGGCATGTGCCCTATTTCCCAAGTTCCTATCGCAATGAAGGCTGTATCCAGCCTCTACGAATCAAAATAATCTTAATATGTACGCACTGCAATCTATAACATAAATTAACTTTAATCGTAATATCATAGCTTTAACCAGCGTCCCTACTACAAAGTATTTAATTATCAAATATATAATATTATGTGTTTTAATTAAGTATCAAAATATTTGTTAATGCGTTCAACGATGCATGTGTTTGTTTTAATTTAGAATACTGAATATTGAAATTTGGTTTCACGATATAATTATATAAATAATTTTTACTTAGCTGTTAGACATTAATATTAGTAAAGTTGTTTTATTTTGTTTTCCAAAAGGTTTGGTATAATGGTATAATCTACTATTGAATCGTGTGAATTCAACGTCAATCCTTAAATTTTCAGCTCTTGAAAACGTTATTTTCAGGCTCTGCAAAACACACGGCCTCTCCCTGGCCCTATACCACTGGAAGCGGTAGTACCAGTACCGCTACCTTTGCTCAGTGTACCACGTGCGGACAACAACTCAGTTGCTCGGGAGCACTGAGGAGACACGTGAAGCTTGTTCACCTCAAACAGAAGGACTTCGTGTGCAAGTACTGCAGCCGCGCATTCAGCACGTGCAGCAACATGAAGAAACACGTGCAGACCATGCATATCGACTACAGACCATTCAAGTGCTTCTTCTGCGATAAGACGTTTAAGAAGCCCCACAGTCTGAACTCTCACATGTTTACAGAACATGGAGGTAAACGTGTTTCTTCTGAGCAGTGGGATGAGTTGCGGAGGATTGAGATGCAGATGAAGGGAGGTAATCAGAGTTCCTCCAACGTGAATACGGACTAATAACTGAAGCTGTAAGGTCACCACGTTGTCCTGTGGCTGTTGTTCGATGGGATATTTCGCCGTAAGCGTTTTTGCACACTATAGCTAGGATGTAATACACAAGTTAACTTTTTTCTATTGGCTGTAAGTATTTAACATCTATTAATACGCAAGTATTTGTTTTTCTACTTTTAAATATTTTCTTTGTATAGAGACTTATATAATATATAGGTGATGGGAGCTTTAGTTTCGGATAGTCTGCCTTAAGTAAATATAATGTATAGAGCTCCTTAACTTAATTCTATGGTAATTATTATAAAGTAGTGCACCAGAAACGATCAATCAGCACAGAAAGTAGTGGTTACCTTTAACAGATTATTTAAAGACTGGATGTGATTGTTTCAAGATTTAATAGACTAACCTTACTCTTTAAAATGTCGTTCCATTTAAAACGTAATTAGTTGAATTTTAAACGTCAAGTATTTCAAGCCCACAGGGCGTCTTGTTTAATAATAATAGTTATAGTTCACGCTCTTTCTATTTTAGCTTTTGATGACATAATGTGTTTTGCTTAAAGAAAAAAGTTGTTAAATTTTAATCAAAGGAACTTTCCGAACTAGCCATGAGACGAGTGATATCGCTGGATTCTACTGGCACCCTCTTAAACATATCCAAATCAGTTGGACACCAGTACCTCCGAATCTTAGATAGCTTCTTTCCCGGTTCCCTCTCTGCCCAAGATAAAACACTCCTGACTAAAGAATTCAATGTAAACATGCCCCTACATTACAAGGAGGCTCTCAAGAAGAATCCCAATTTTGGACATGGTAGTATAGGGGTTTATGAATGGTGGAAAGGGCTAGTTCGGCAGCTCTACCTGTCCTCTCACATCGACATGAAGGATTACCAGTTTTCTCTTCTCTTTGACGACACTTACAATCAGTTCAGGACGACAAACTGTTGGGACATGTACCCGGAAACAATCCCAGTTCTTGAGGAGATCCAGGCTCGTGGTATTGATGTGGTGGTTACCAGTGATTTCGATGTGGGTCTTGTGAATATTCTCCGACAACACGGACTGTTTAAACCTGATGACATCTCCAGCTCTCTTGTCAAAGAGGTGATCACCTCCTATGAGCAGGGTCTTGCTAAGCCGGACCTTCTCAAGTTGGTGAAAGAGAAATGGGACATTACTGTGCACGTGGGGGACAGTTACGAGAGAGATGTGGTGGGGGCTGAGAAAATAGGGGTGTTGCCCATTTTTGTAGATAGGGGGAACAGTGGCATTTGTAAACTTCACCCTTCCGTTCAGACGTTATCAGGGATTTTAGATTATATCAAGTGACACATTGTGGGTTTTCAGAGCTTAAAGGGTTTTTATATGATTTGAATGTGATCGAGCTTCATTTTCAAGCACATCCATAAATACCCCAATAGTTAACTTTGAATTTCCTATGAATAGTCTGTACAATGATTTGGTGTATAAATGTATGGTTATTAAGCATAATTTCATTGAAGTCAATTTATGATTATCAATTGTTTTTGTTACATTGCCTGCTATTCCTTTTTAAACCGATCAACGTTGAAGTACAAAGTCACTCTGTGTTCCGGATTGGAGTCTGGGATTGTTTTTGGATCTTGAAACCTAAATTAACCAGTTCCATGTCCACTTGTCTCAGGGCCCAAGATCCATCACCGCTGTGGTGAATGTGGCAAAATGCTGAGCTGCCGGGCTGCTCTGGGTAGGCACATCAAAGTGGTGCACCTCCGGCAGAAGAAGTGGCAGTGTCAGTTCTGTGACAAACTGTTCGGCCAAAACTCTGATAGGATAATCCACGAGAATAGGAACCACGGAGTGCAAGTGGCGGGATATTTTGAGAATTAGTGGTTCTGTAAGCTGCTGATTTTAGTGTTTTGTTTTTAGGTAAGTTCTGTTGTTCAAAAGTTGTTTTTTTTCTGATGGCATGTCTGAATGTTTGTAGATCTTGTAACCCTAAGATTTGATACATTTTATATTTGTTAGAGTTGATAAACTTGATGACTTTGTATTTGGACGGATAACTGAAAGTTAGAATGATGGAATATCTCTTATGACCTATCTACTATATCTCATTTAGACGTTAGTCAACTGTGACGGACGTAGCCTCCCAATAGGGAGGTAAAGTGGGTGCCCCAACATAAAAAAAAAAAAAAAACTCATTTAAATCCCGTCGACACAATTTCCATACTGAATTTGATAGAAGAGGATGAAAATATGAATTTCAATAATCCTAAAACTTTGGGGCCACACACAATTTTACATCTCAGATAATATAATTCCTATTTTCCCAGCAGGTGACCACGTGTTGAGTCACTCATGTCAAACTTGTGGTAAGATACTGAGCTGCAAAGCGGCACTCATCAGACATGTTAAAGTAGTGCACCTTAGACAGAGAAACTTTGTCTGTAGACACTGCGGCAAGCCGTTCGGACAGAACTCCGATAGGATCATTCACGAAAACTCTGTCCATTCTAAGACTGATAACTGATAGAGTTACTGGGTGTCCCTAAAAAGGGCGATCAAGTGATTACTTTTTAATTTTATAGCCCAAGAACAGGTTATAGTGTTATATATTATTTACAGTGTCCATTCTGATTACTTTTTTGTGGTATGTAATGGTTCGTGGTAACTGGTATGTAATGTTTCAGAGTTGTTTTATCAATTGTGATTTACAATGATTTGCAATACATCATTTTAGAACGTCGCTTTTAGTAAGTTTTATTTTGGCCTTAATTTCGCTGTATTTGTGTATTTTGATCAATTTTTATAACAGTTGACTGATTTCCCCATGCATATTTTCGGCTGATTTTGTCCTATCTATTTAATATTCAGTTTAAAATATCATCAGTGAACATTTAAAAAAAATTATGACAGTCTATTTTATTGAACATTTAAAATGTTGCGATTCTATCACTAAAATCATCCGAAAATTTGATCAATTGAAAAAATTCGTTCTTACTTTTTTGAGGAAACTGTAAAGAAATAATTCTACTAATACTCTTAACCCAGCCCCCAATTTCAGAGCTGAGATCGACAACGTGCGAACAATGTGGTCTAACGCTAAGTACGAAACAAGCCCTAACAAGACATATCAGAGTAGTACACCACCGAATCAAGATGGGTCACGTGATGCCCATATAAGGAGTGTCAAATGTCGGTACTGCAGCAGAGCGTACAGACACCTCCATGAACAGAACCGTCATCGCAACACTCAATCACGTCGCTGAAAAAGAAATAACTGTGGACCATAATAGTTGTAGTATCCATATTTAGTTTTGATGATTTGTTTTTAGAACGAACTTTTTACTTTTTACTCTAATACGATTGACTGTCAGTGCATCACATGCTCAAATGAGCTGGGATCAAAAGATATGGTGTATTAATGAATGTGCAGTGATTAACTTTTAGAACACATGAAAGATTTTTATCAAAATGCACAAAACATTACAGCTCACGATTAATGGCGAAAATATTCTACTAAGGTCCGCAACATTTTTCGGCGGAACAATGAATATATATATTCTTCCAGCTAGTGCCAGTGGCTTTGCAGAACCCGACGGGTTTGACGCGGAATTCACTTCAAAATTTTCTCTGTTGACTCCGGCAGTCAAGCTTATATTATTACGTTCACCCAAAATTATCACATTTTGGTTTATACTGCAGATGGACAAAACGGTTTTTACAAAACCCTAACCATAACCCCGAAACTAGTCATAACCGGAACCCTAACGTGTAACGGCCCTAACGGTAACCCATAAAAATCGAATACAGAATACGCGTTTTACCAGCCTGTCACGTTCAACAAAAACACCTTTTTGTTAATAACTCCCCAGATAACTTCCCACATAACCCCCATAACTTCCCTTACAGGGACGCATTTTAACATAACATTAACCTTTCGTCATGGAGGGTGATTCTGAATCAGCGTCCAAAAATACATCGACCGTAATTATTTGTATATCCACAGGGGGCAGGGCCCTCTTACAAGATATAAAAAATTGTCGAGCGATTTAGTGGGAGTGCTTGACTCATATCCTATTTACAATTAAACTTTACTCCGGCCTTGGATCATTATATTTTAGTTTATGAGGTTCCGTTGACGCGAAATCTGTCAGTCGGAGACAAACCCGCACGCACCTGACGATTTAATGAGTCAGCCGTAGGATCTGCGGTTAGAATTTTGAGTTCGTCAAAAATTAATCCTGCGAACCCTTGATAGTACTGTGTACCAATTCACATAGCCAATAAAGCCATGTGCCTTCTGGGCTCTGGTTAGAGCAACTATGTACCAGAACTAACCATTTTTAGACAAATATATCATCGGCGTCATATTAAAACAAAATTAGAAGTTTCGACCCACAATCGGACAATCCTGTTACATTAAGTACTAGTACAGAGGGAGCAAATCACTATAATGTTAATAAATTAAGTAATTATCCCAGAAATGAGTAAGGCGTCACTTAACATTATTATTAGTATTACCTAGCTTGCTAGGTTATTGCTTGCTTCTCTCACGTAATCGCAAGACTAGAAGCTCGAAAAGAGCACCACGCATACTCATAGGGATAATAGGCACGCCTGGTAGTGGTAACACTTAGTAGTAGTTTTTAAACTAGTAACACACTACTTACTTACACACTACTCACACACCACGCATAGGGATAATAGGCACGCCTGGTAGTGGTAACACTTAGTAGTAGTTTTTAAACTAGTAACACACTACTTACTTACACACTACTCACACACCACGCATAGGGATAATAGGCACGCCTGGTAGTGGTAACACTTAGTAGTAGTACGGAAATTTTAAGGGTCAATTTCTCGACGATTGTGTTTCCAGTTTCCAATTTTATTAAAACTAACTGCCCAGGTTTGGAGGCGCTCCAGCTCGCTGATGACTACGGGTCACGTGATGCCCATATAAGGAGGTTTGAAGCTTTTGGAGATATAGACCCTGGCTCCGCAGCAAATGGAGGTTAGTACCTAAATCTAGGATTCTCTATGCGCTATGGCAATTTATAAAAATTATCATCTGAAAACAGAAAACGTGCAATCAGGGATTCTAAGTGGGGCAACTTTTCAAACCCCCCTCCCGGACAACCTTACACAATGTCAAATGTGTCCCTAAACTATCTCTTGAAGTTGCCACAGTAGCTAAGACGATGAATAATAAAACCTCTTCAGGACCAGGCAAACACGACGTATCAGAACGCTCCTGTCAGCTTTGTGGGAAGATATTCACGAAGAAATGCGACTTAAAGCGGCACATAAACCAGGTACACTTGAAACTGCGACCCTACAAATGTGATCAGTGCTACGCCAGCTTCCCTCGGAGACCTCAGCTCAGAGCTCATATTGTCAAGCATCATGAGTCCGTCACTTCGGATGCAAACGATTGAAGAAAAATAATGTGGTTGATTTGTAAATGGGTGAAAGTCAGAAAGCGGTGCACAGTCTATATTCACTATGAACTGACGAATCAGTTTGCAGTATTAACTCATGGGTACCTAAAACACAGCTAATTTGTAATTACGGGTACGCTTACTAATATGTAATAACTGGTAACGCATGGAATTAAATATTCTTATCGGTATTGATACACGTTGCATTCCCCTTTTTGCGAAAGGGATATGCAACGTGTATTATAGCAATAATCGTTATAATATACATCATTATTTGTATACTTATTAATTGGAAGTGCATGTACATTATTGATTGATTTATAGTTTATAATTTAACACTTACTATCTATAATTCCTGCCGAATTTTTATCTGGGCTAATTTTAAGATATGATGTATTATTTGCAAATTACAATCACGTTAAATAGGTAACTCGATAAATCTACCAATTCTAAATCGGTGCACTATATTGTGAAAATATTAAGTTGATGTGATATGTCCATTAAGTAATTCATGACAGAACTATATTAATATTATTCAATAAACAATAAACATTTATGATTTAACCACTGTTTCATTTCGTAAACGAATTTCACTATGAGCGAATGTCTCATTTATTGAAGAATTGGGCATTTACAAATTTCCCGTTGACTGACCAAGTGTCACTTTCATCTGATAATTGTTCAAGTGAAGCAAATGAAATCTTAGGTGATCGCACACAAAGTAATATACAATACTTGCATACAATATATATACTCGATTTATTCGTGAACAAGAAGTTCCCACGCGCGCGCGTGGTATGTCGGCGTGCGCTAAAAAATGGTGTGCTACCATACAATTATGTCTGGCGGCTCACAGATATTACAGTCAAAGAAGGACTTTGGTACAGAAAGTCCAACTGACCCACTCTAGTATCCTGTATTCAGCTACATAATTCGATTGTATTACCAGTTTATCTGACGCAACAGTCACGTTCTTAATATCAAACGCCAGTGAAAGTACCGGTCGTTATCTTAAAATTTGATGTAATTTGTAAACGGAGCAAAACATAATAACGGACAATCGAAAATCGCATGTTTGAAATATTTTACTAATCAGTGTTAAACAAAAATACAAAACAATTATTCATTAATGGGCACTAGGTAACAATCTTAATTCATAGATGCACAATTGAAAAATCAAAGTTAGTAAATCGATACAGTTAATTTAATCAAAAGAGCCCTACTCATTAAAAATAAGGGACGGCTAATATACTCTGAATAAAATTCAAGCAATAGAAACATGCTGTACAACAAATCATAAGAATCGATGAAAGTTATGTAATAAATAGGGTCAGTAGTTTTTAATTAAGACAGTTTATAGTTTTGAATCGAAACAAAAATGCAATGTCTGCTTTTAAGTTTCGTAAAAAGTACTTATTTAAAAGTATTTGGTCATGTGCTCTCGGCCGATGATAAGTTTTTGAATCTGATCCGTTCCCTCGTAGATCTGGAAGATCTTTGCGTCCCTCATAAGCTTTTCTACTGGATAATCCTTGTTGTAGCCGTTCCCACCGAACACCTGCACTGAATCGCTTGCGTTTTTGTTAGCGGCGATAGCGCCGTACAGTTTACCGATAGAGGCGTAGTAAGTGTTTCTGCGTCCCTCATCATAATCGGCACACGATCTCCAAACAGCAAGTTTAGCTGAAATACACCACACTTAGTGATAAGATAACGGATAATTTATCGGTTCTTATGAAAGCGCAGTAAGTTAGCTTATCAAACACATGGGAGCTATGATAGCGTTTTGCGAACAGATAAAAATAATGACGCAAATAAATCTAACACCCACCCAGTTCGTATCTCATAGCCATGTCAGATAACATAAAGAGAACTGCTTGGTGCTTGAATATCTGCTTGCCCATCGTCTTACGCTCCATCGAGTATTTTGTAGCCTCATCTAGTGCCCTCCTAGCCAACCCTACCAGAAACAAAAAGTTAGTTCAATGTAAACATATAAACAGTACACCAAAATATCTGTTAAAATGTTGCATATCAATAATTCTAAAGTAAAAACAGTCCACAAAATATAAGCCACTAACCCAGACTCATAGCACCAACAGTAGGCCTGGTCTTATCGAAGCACTTCATAGCAACCTTAAAGCCACCTCCCGGCTCCCCTACAACATTGTCAGCTGGGACTACCACCTCGTCAAATGTTACACCTCTGGTGTCTGATGCTCTGAAAGGGAGGCTTGTTTAACTACACCACGTGACTACACCATGTGAGTACACCACGTGACTACACCACGTGACTACACCACGTGACTACACCACGTAACTACACCACGTGACTACACCACGTGACTACACCACGTGACTACACCACGTGACTACACCACGTGACTACACCACGTGACTACACCACGTGACTACACCACGTGACTACACCACGTGACTACACCACGTGACTACACCACGTGACTATACCACGTGACTATACCACGTGACTATACCACGTGAGTATACCACGTGAGTACACCACGTGACTACACCACGTGACTACACCACGTGACTACACCACGTAACTACACCACGTGACTACACCACGTGACTACACCACCACGTGACCACACCACGTGACTACACCACGTGACTACACCACGTGACTACACCACGTGACTACACCACGTGACTAGACCACGTGACTACACCACGTGACTACACCACGTGACTACACCACGTGACTACACCACGTGACTACACCACGTGACTACACCACGTGACTAGACCACGTGACTAGACCACGTGACTACACCACGTGACTACACCACGTGACTACACCACGTGACTAGACCACGTGACTACACCACGTGACTACACCACGTGACTACACCACGTGACTACACCACGTGACTACACCACGTGACTACACCACGTGGCTACACCACGTGACTGGCACTACCAGCTCGTCAAATGTTACCCCTCTGTTGTCTGATGCTCTGGGGGGGGGGGTCAACTTGTTTAACTCTCTTCAAAACAACTCATATATATATATTATATTATGCTCTAGTGAACACATTGCAATTATCTTTAAATCGAGGATAACTGCAAATCAATTTCTTTCAACTATGTTCAATATTACACCACGTGACTACACCACGTGACTACACCACGTGACTACACCACGTGACTACACCACGTGACTACACCACGTGACTACACCACGTAACTACACCACGTGACTACACCACGTGACTACACCACGTGACTACACCACGTGACTACACCACGTGACTACACCACGTGACTACACCACGTGACTACACCACGTGACTACACCACGTGACTACACCACGTGACTACACCACGTGACTACACCACGTGACTACACCACGTGGCTACACCACGTGACTACACCACGTGGCTACACCACGTGACTACACCACGTGACTGGCACTACCAGCTCGTCAAATGTTACCCCTCTGTTGTCTGATGCTCTGGGGGGGGGGGGGGGTCAACTTGTTTAACTCTCTTCAAAACAACTCATATATATATATTATATTATGCTCTAGTGAACACATTGCAATTATCTTTAAATCGAGGATAACTGCAAATCAATTTCTTTCAACTATGTTCAATATTACACCACGTGACTACACCACGTGACTACACCACGTGACTACACCACGTGACTACACCACGTGACTACACCACGTGACTACACCACGTAACTACACCACGTGACTACACCACGTGACTACACCACGTGACTACACCACGTGACTACACCACGTGACTACACCACCACGTGACTACACCACGTGACTACACCACGTGACTACACCACGTGACTACACCACGTGACTACACCACGTGGCTACACCACGTGACTACACCACGTGGCTACACCACGTGACTACACCACGTGACTGGCACTACCAGCTCGTCAAATGTTACCCCTCTGTTGTCTGATGCTCTGGGGGGGGGGGGTCAACTTGTTTAACTCTCTTCAAAACAACTCATATATATATATTATATTATGCTCTAGTGAACACATTGCAATTATCTTTAAATCGAGGATAACTGCAAATCAATTTCTTTCAACTATGTTCAATATTACACCACGTGACTACACCACGTGACTACACCACGTGACTACACCACGTGACTACACCACGTGACTACACCACGTGACTACACCACGTGACTACACCACGTGGCTACACCACGTGACTACACCACGTGACTGGCACTACCACCTCGTCAAATGTTACCCCTCTGGTGTCTGATGCTCTGGGGGGGGAGGGTCAACTTGTTTAACTCTCTTCAAAACAACTCATATATATTATATTATGCTCTAGTGAACACATTGCAATTATCTTTAAATCGAGGATAACTGCAAATCAATTTCTTTCAACTATGTTCAATATTACACCACGTGACTACACCACGTGGCTACACCACGTGACTGTACTATGTAACTAACCGTTGTCCCATATTCCATTCCTTCCTCCCGACAGTGACTCCTGGTGAGTCTGCGTCCACAACAAAAGCCGTGAAAGCTTTAGCAGCCGGGCACTTTGGGTCGGGGTCCGATCGAGTGAAGACAAAGAACCAGTTCGCGTGTCCACAGTTGGTTATCCACATTTTACTTCCGTTTATTACGTAATCATCACCAACTGAAGTAAATTGTATGTCAGCGGGGATCTTTTATTCATTATATCCGTTCAATCCTTCCACATTCCACAACAACCAACTGATTGGCTATTAGAATTTATTGGGGTAATTTATCAGTAAATCAATGGCATAGTGATTATAACCCAAATCATACTTTTTCTAGAGCTAGTTCTCGTAGAAGCAACATCAGACCCTGCAGAAGGCTCGGTCACACCGTACGCTGCAACTAGCAGTTCCTCCGTCATTCTTCCCAGGTACTTCTTCTTCAACTCGTGGCTACCTGCTATTATAACTGGCGACTCAGCTAGACTGAAATTTGAGAATGTTACTGGGTCAAATATAGATTATAATAAGATGCATTGTAAATTTCTGGGGCAAAATTTGTAGTGTTCCCGTTTATTGCGACAAGGAAAAGGCTGTCATCACGATAAGGAATTGTTCTACGTTTCAATGTAACAAGGTCATATTTATGATATAAAAAGATGTTTATCAAAATGGCATATCCAGCACATCATGTTACCAACCTGTTTCCACCGAGAGCGGTTGCAATACCAGTACATCCGAACCCGATCTCTTCTTGTACGATACAAGCTTCCAATAGGGACAAACCTGACGAATTATATTTCTTGTGAAACTAATTGATGAAAGTTTACGTAATGAAAGCCATAGCTCTGCCGTTTTCTGACAAAAGTGCTTAAGTAACATTTTGGAAATTTCGGGTTTTTTGGTCTAACTTTTGTTTTTGGGTCAAGTTCAACTATCCCTGAGGACCATTGGATACATTCGCCGACCCCCCAAAACCCCCTTTTTGGAACCCCCTAAAATGCAAAAAATGGTCATTTTTCTGAGAAAAGTGCTTAAGTAACATTTTGGAAAACGGGTGCCGTTTATTTCAAAAATGGTGCCATTTCGGGAACTGAAAACGGTGGCATTGTTTTCTACGTCCAAAACTGGCCTAGTGACGGCAATTTGGTGATCGTGGGTCTTTTGGCCTGGGAAAAAACAATTTATGTCACTTAAGCACTTTTGTGAAAACGGGCTCGTTTTCTCACAAAAGTGCTTAAGTGCCATTATACGTTTAATTAAATGTTGATTCTGCCAACTGAAACTATATAATCGGTACTAACAAATCTAAATTTTCACGGCGGATCGATTGGTGATGGTCATAAACTTCAGAAACGCTAGCTTCGCCGTCAAAATTGCCGATTTGTCAATGCAGAACGTTTCAAAATATACGTCATAATTTGCTTTAAAATTTTTTATTCTCTTATAAGTTGAGACTGGCGGGATTATCGACAGGCAAGGGAACATTACCAAAGAGATAGAAGTAATTTGCTTCACTGCTCCTTCTCTGTTGATATGGAGAAAGTTCTTTTACTACCATACATGCCGGAGTACAAGGAGGCGATTTTAACAAGACGCCTTGTCACATTTAACGAGACCTTCGCGAGGCTGGGGTCAGACGGAGCTCCTTTAGCGATTCTTTGGAATGAGTCAATCGCAGGAAGGAAAGATGAGAATGTGTCCTCGACTTGGATAAGGGCAATAAAACATTTTGCCAGTTGGCAAGATTGGTGGTAGCAGGGAGATCATATTTTGGGCAGACAATTGTTCTGCTCAAAACAAGTGTTGGACTTTATTTACTGTATTAGATGTTCAATTATCAACAGCCCAGATGTTGACCTGGACAAGATAACGGTCAAGTATCTAGAGCCAGTGCACACCTTTATGAGTGCAGACTCATTCCACCATAAAGTGGAGTTGTCCATTAAACAATCAGGTCAACATCATGATTATAAGGACTTTGTTCAGGCAGTTGAACAGGTGGGTACTGCGATAAGCATGAACTGCACAGACTTTGAATCGTGGCCAAGGTCCTACGGAACAAGCAACTAAAAAACTAAAGATGTTAAAGTTGTAAGTTTCCAGCGTGGGTCTGTAGAAATGGAATGGAAAACAAATCATGACGAGGTTTCTTTTCATTTCACTCCATTTCTCAGACAAAAAGACGAGAGAATCATTTCCATAGGTTGCAAAATAGCTTTCGCCCAGGAAGAGCCCCGGGGGATAGCTACTCCCAAAAAAAGACATTATACGTAAACTGTGCAGGCTTATGTAGGGTATCCTGGATGAACTTGCCTGATAGTGCAGATATAACAGATCTTAATCGAGTGTTTGACTAAAAATCATATATTTCTTGTATTATTTACCATTTATTTATGTACAGCATTACTTACAATTATGTTACATTTTTATACGCTTGTTTTTCTTTGCCTCGCGTTACGATATCAATAATTCGCAAATCATTGGTCTTTATGAAGAAAGCCTCATCTGAGTTCTTAATTTAATTTCTAAAAAAAGAAACTTATTTATTATTATCCCGTTCTTTCACCAATCAACTCTTCGTTGAAATGCTGGTAGAATTCCGACTATTTTTTAATCCGCTGGGGAGAAGGGAGGGTTTTCGTGTTCTTAAACCACCACCAATCAATTTGTCGTAAAATTTTAGGTCAGAATGATCGCAGATAAAGTTCCCACTAATGTGGCTGTACTTAAGCACTTTTCTCAGAAAACGAAATTTTTAAATTTTCTATTTCAGCGTGTCCCCTATTTACAACCAATGTTTCATCACAACAGTTTTAGGCTAATTTTTCGTTTCACTTTCGATGACCAATGGTTTGAACGGGTCATTTTCATCAGAACATGGAGCTTTTGCTGATGTGGCTGTACTTAAGCACTTTTTTCAGAAAACGAAATTTCAAATTTTATATTTCAGCGTGTCCCCTATTTACAACCAATGTTTCATCACAACAGTTTTAGGCTAATTTTTCGTTTTACTTTCGATGACCAATGGTTTGAACAGGCCATTTTCATCAGAACATGTAGTATTTGTCGATGTGACTGTACTTAAGCACTTTTCTAAGAAATTCAAACTATAATTTGTGATTTTGAGGCACTTTCCGAGAAGTTAGGATGATGAAACCTTGTCATAAGTTTCAAAAGTCGACAAAGTACCTTAGAAACATAGTGGGTGCAGTTTAAGTTGGACAGTAGCTAGCCCAGAGCAATTACAGAATTGAAATCTTTAAAGTCAATTTGCACAAAATGAACCTTGTGTTACTTAAGCACTTTTGTCAGAAAACGGCAGAGCTGGTGTAGCCACATCCCTATTCTCAAAAAAATAAAATCATACAAATCTAAAAGTAATTTTTCATTTTACAATCCAAAACTCATATAAAAAGTATATCATGTGAATATATATATATATGTATATTGTATATATTATATATAGATATATATATAAATAAATATATAATAATATAATATATATATAGAAAGCTCAGGGCACTGAACTCCAAAGCACTATCACAAACCAACTAACCAAGACAATAAACTAACCCAAGCCTCCATAGTCCTCAGATATAGTGGTATTCATGAGGCCTAGATCAAAAGCTTTCTGTAGCACTTCCCAGGGATAATCCCCGGTCTCGTCATAGTGGGCAGCTGTAGGAACTACCTCGTCCAGAGTGAACTTTCTTGTAGTTTCTAGTATTTCGGTCTGCTGATCATTCAGGTTGAAGGAGATGTTTCTGGCTGAGGAGCTGACAACAGGGTAGAGTCTTGGGAAGAGTTGACGGGAGATTCTACCTACAAGTGCCATTCTACTTCTGTGAGAATTGGAATATTATTATTAGAAAGTGAGGTAGTAAAACTTCAACGTGTTTAAATTTTAACAAGTATAGGGGGGGGTTCAAGCTGAGGCATGAACCTAATTGGTTAATTTCGATCTCGTGTTAACTAAATATCTCCTCACATCTCTACCAGAATCCACACTTATATTTAAAAAATGATATATTTAAGTCATAAGCAAAGCATAGTCAAAACAATACTGCATCAGTTCAGGCTACATGAATAGGTACATGGATTATGGAGGTAAACATATTGAGAATTTAAGTTTACTAACATATTGAGAATTTAAGTTTCTGATATGTTATAATATATAAATGTGTTGTGTGGGTCTGTGGAGTAGTAGCGGGAAGGTATCGTATACTTTTTGATTTTTTCTCTTGATTATTTATTAATGATTTTATGTAGGGTCGGCACCAATGTTATTATGGTTTTACCACCATGTTTTGGTTCAGCCAAAATAAATTTTACTATATGTTGTTACATAATTTTTCTCACTTCAGCTGCAGTCTGGTAGTGTTGAGTTTCTATTTTTTCTAGCTCTCTTTTTCCATGTTTTTGCCTCACAGGAGATATTGTGGTCTTTTCTAAATATAATTGTAATACATTGATGTAAAGTTTATTTGAATTTTGATATAAAAGATGCCAGATAAATACAGAATTTTCTCAAACTTTACTTTTTAAGTGAAACTTAAATGTTATAATGAAACTCATTTGCATTGGTCAAATAACGAAATATTTTCATACAATATCACAATTTAGATAGTTAAAATAGGTCTTATAAAAACAGCGAACATCATTGGATGAACTCCAAATAATGAAGACGGAAAATGACTGTCTAATATGGTTATGACATCCCTTAGAAATGTTCACAAAATAGTGCTGACGTGACATGCTATAAAATACTCAAAAATCCAGGTACAGAACTGCACCACATAGCCATTATTGTACAATAACCAGAATTTGAAGTTCAAATTTCAGAACAACGATATAGTTTTCCTTGGCACAGCATGGTCACAACGGTTAAATTGAGAAGAATTTGAATTATACAGGATCACTATGCTGTAATATTATGATCTTCAGTATTTACTGATAATTGTTCTGAAGGTTTGTTTGAGGGAGTAGCAGGGGCAGTCTCATCCACTTCCCCATCTCCAATGAACTTGTGCCAGCTGGCTAACCTAACTTCACGGTCTTTAGCCGTTTCTTCTATCGCATAATCGGTCACACCATCCCACTGGTGAGCTTGTATTTGCTGGCCACCAAACCACCTTTTGTCAAAACCTTTGACTGCATCCTCAGCAGCTTCGTGAGTATCAAATTTAACTGAGACTACACCATCAGGATGTCGATCAAACAGTAAAACCTTTTTCACTGGTCCAAGCTTCTCACATTCTTGTTTTATGTCATCTCGAATTTCAGTGATCATACAAGCATCTTCGAGAAACTCTTTAGGATCGAAACAGTGTTTCATGATAACAATTTTGGCGTGTTTCGGTCGTAGATCATTACCACCAGCCCTATCCCTCCAATCTAACATATTATCTTGTTTCTTACGCTTTTTCTTATTCTTATTGTTTTTCTTCTTTGGTTTTAATTTAGGGTTGAATTCACCTTTCAAAACGAAATTCGCCTGTTCAACTTTTACTTTATGAGTTGATCCCGGAAGCTTAGTCCCGTTTAACATTTGAATTGCCAGTGGTATTGACTCTTTCCTATAGTAACAGCACTTTGCATCACCTTTAAAGTTTCCTTCGTCGTCGGTATACATTTTGAATCTTTTCTTCTCGGTGTCTGGGTCCTCCATAACTAAACCATACTTTCCAACTAATGCAAGAAATTCATCAGAGTTCATCGACAGAGGAAGTCCAGACACATAAATCCATGTGTTCTTATCTGCATCCATTTGAAACCATTCAGGTTCCTTTTTCTGTTTCTTTGGCACAGATTTTTCTTCAACAGTTTTTGAACAGTCACTTTCTTCATTTTGATCAACTTGAACAGTGTCCTCTTTCTGTTCAGAAATAGGTAAAGATTCCTTGACATCAGTTGACTCCACAGATTTGGTGTCCTTGTCAGGACTTGAGGACTGGTTGTCTTGGGTCACACCATAACTCATTTGATATGCTGCCAAAAAGTCTTCTGTGATACGTGGAAACCAGGCCCTCTGACTCTCATCCCATTCATAACATGTACCATCATTGGGATCTGTGTAGTAATGTCCTGCTGCAATTTTTTCTTTTTCTCTGAGTTCAGCCTGTAACTGGTATTCAAGTTCATCTTTAGGAGGAACTATGTCTGGTCTTGTAGTTGTTTCCCTCACTACAGTTATCTTATCTTCCCCTTCGTCCGATTCATCACTTGAGAGACCTTTCTCAGCCATTTTTCCTGGGGTTAAATAATATATTAATTCTGCAAGAAGTTTATTATTATCAAACAGAATCATAGACAAAAAGAATTAATAAATCTATAACACAGTAAATATTCAAAAAATATATTTTAAGAATAAATTCCTAACATGAAGATCCATTTCTAAAACTGAAAATAAGTTTGTCCGTGTTGAATCAAACAAATCTCTTGGAGATTTTTATAAAATAGAAACAATATACACAGATAAATTCAGTAATGGTACAGGGTGGGCCAAAAGTCAGTGTGAAACGTTGGCCTTTTAATAGCTCAGTCACAGTGGCCAATTGAAATAATTCCGTGCTCCAATATCCTTACATGAGGGTTACACATGTTCGTCAAGGAAACCCTGCCTTCTAATCTGTCAGGCAGACCCACCTGACAACCACAACACTAGATCAACCAAAATTGTTAACATTTTAACCCCAAAGTTCAGAATGACTGACTTTACTAAGTTTGTGGATACAAGGATACAAGGATACAAGGATACAAGGATACAAAAGTGATAATTACTTTATTGAGTACACAATAGTTGTAATTCTGAAATAATTTAAGTTACACAATTCTAATTATTTACAAGTGTGTAGGGATAATTTAGAAATGTTATATAATGCTAGTTTTAGAAAAATAGATAAATCGAGTTTGTATGGTTCAATTTTATTTTAAGGTCCTATAGCATTATGCACTTGCCAGTATTTGAGTGGAAATCTGGGCTCTTATAATAGGCTGTATATTGTTCGTTCACAGAGAGAATTGAATGGATTGCTCTTGCTGTGGCAGTGAGTGTGGTAGGATCTAGAGTTTTGTTGGAGAGCAAACCGACTAGGTCAGTAATGTTTTGGGGATGGAAATTGAATTTTTCCCTAACTGAGGAGTAGAGCAAACAGTCAATCAATACGTGACTTTCGTCCTCAATAGGCTTGAGCCCTTTGCTGAAAAAGCAGTAGGTGCACCAACGTTCTTCTCTTGGTACAAGGGGGGTTTCGTATCTGCCCCTTTCGATGTAGAGGTTGTGGCAGCTGATACGAAACCTTGTCAGACTTTTTCGAACATCAGGTATTTTGATAATTCGTAGATATGCCTCTGGTTCGAAATCATGTTTAATTAAGTTATAGAATTCTAGTTTTGGCGAGGAGGCCTTGGCAGCTTTCCAGGTATTTACGAATTCTTCCCTCATGTTATGACTGATTTGGGTGGAGAGCTTAGATTTTGAGGAAGATGAGGGGGTGAAGTTGTATTTGGTGAGAAGCTTTGAGATGTTGGTATACCAAGGAAGTCCCAACATGATTTGTTCGTGAAATGCAGCACAGAGTAGTTCGTTTTCAGTGTTTTCAAGGCGACTATAGTAATCTATTGCAAGTTTGCAGGCTTCAAAGAATAGGGGGTGGCGACCGCTTTCGCCCCAGCAACCTATATTTGATGCTTTTGAATGGACAGACAAAGACCACTTGATAAACTTTAGGTGGAATTTTTCATAGTGGTCTTGTGCAATGTACTTCAAGGTATGCTGGGGGTTGGCTTTGTCATCTATTTTTGAAAGGTATCTCATGGTTTTTGAGTGAGGGCATAAGACTTGACAGCCATAAAGCAGGATCGGTTTTATTAAGGAGTCAAATAGAATATTAAGGGCACGGTGAGAGAGGGCATCCTTAACTATTTTGCCTTTGAGGCCATAGAGAGCACGGAGAGCCTTGGCCCTCAGCTCAGTATTTGCTGCTGTGAACGATCCATTTCTGTGGAATATTATGCCAAGATAGCAGTATTTATCGGTGTGCTGGATGGGCTGACCTCCCAATGTGAATGTTTCATAGGACTGCTTTCGTTTGGGAGGGCTGAATATTACAATCTTGGTTTTCTTAATATTTACTTCAAGGCCCATGGAGTTACAGAAATCAAATAGAATGTTGATATTGACTTGCAAGGCCTTGGGAGTTAGAGCAAGAAGGACAAGATCGTCAGCCCACAGCAGATGTGATATCAGAACGTCAGCAAGAACTGGATAGTCACCAACAGATTTCAGGAGAGATGAAAAGTCATTAATGTAGATTTTAAAAAGGTCTGGCGATAGGGGGTGTCCTTGCTCCGTTCCTTTGCCAATATCAATTTTAGGCGACAAGAGTTTGGAAATTTTTATATGGGCAATAGAGTTTTTGTACATATCACTTAGGCAGTTGAAGAAGTTACCGGTTATTCCAAGGCATGTAATTTTGTGCAGAAGGAGGTCCCTACATACAGTGTCAAAGGCCTTTCTTAGATCAACAAAGCATGCATAAAGACGAGCCTTTTTAGCTTTTGTGTATTTGTCAATTACTGTCTTGAGGGTGAAAACGTGATCGTTAGTTTGGGCACCTTTCGAAAATCCAAGCTGTTCTTTTGGGTCAGGACAGTAGAGCTTTTTGAAGTGTAACAGACGTTCAAGTAAGATGCTAGAGAACAGCTTACCCATACAACTGCCAACTGCTATTGCTCTGTAATTGTCTGGGCTGAAGGGGTTGCCTGATTTATAGATAGGAGTGATGATACTGGTATGCCATGGATAGTAGCCTGAGACCAGAGAGTGGTTGAATGTTTTGAGGATGACTTGGAAACAAAGCGGAGTTAGGCTCTGAAGCATCTCGTTTGAAATCAAGTCATTTGAGCAACTTTTACCCTTTTTGAGCTTTTTTATTGCGGAAGTAAGTTCAGAATCAGATATGAGCTTGTTTAGGATGTCCAGATCTGGTGGTTCAGGGTAATGTCTGTGATTGTGGTGAGTGAGATCTGGTTCCTGGTCAGGTTTATTATAGAGGGAAGCAAAGAAATCATGAAAGCTAGCAAGATCGAATTTGTCTAGTAGGGGACTAGTGTCATGTTCTTGTTTTAGCCTTTTAAATTTTTTCCAGTCAAGAATATGACCCTCTTCAATAGCTTCATTTAGCTTCCTAAGAAAGGATAATTTCTTACTGTTAACAAGATTGCTGTGCTTATTGCGTTGCTTATAATATTCTCGTCTGAGAATGTTGTTGCAGTGTTTACTACCTAGCCGGTTTGCTAGCCTATTTAGATTGCGTCTCGAGGAGTTGACTTGTGGATCAAACCATTTCTTTTGGGCGGAATTTTTAGGAGGTTTTTTCACTTTTAATGCTATATCAGCAGCACTGTGGAGACAGTTAGTAATTGCATCGTTCAGTTCATTATTGCCCTCCAAGGTGCCGCTAAATTCGTTTGCTACAATGTTTTCCAGGTTATGGACAATTCCGGGCAAGTTGAGGGCTGCTTTAAATAGTAAGTGGGAGTTGTTGTTGTCCCACTTATAGCCACAAGGTAAATTAGAAAAGTCTGGGAGCTGGAAGTTGGCAACAAATGGTTCGAATGTGGTGAGTTTCAAGACTAAGGGACAGTGGTCAGAGTATGATGTAAACTCTTTAACTTGAAGAGAGTTTACATGATCTCTTGCCCACGAGGTGATTACAAAATAATCGACCACACTGCTTCCATTATATTTGTGACAGGTCATTTTTCCAGTGGTGTCCCCGAGGGTACGCCCATTAAGAATTTTCAGTTGGTTATTTATAACCATGTCAAGAAAGTGTTGGCAATGGGGTTCAGATATAGTCAGGTCAGAGTTGTTTCTGGGTTCTTCAATGTCATGTGCTTGCGAGGAAAGCTAAAACGTGCGCTATTAGCCAATCAACATAACCACGCCCTGCTTGATTGGACCACAAAAGATTTTGACTGCACAAATGTTATTTTCCAAACATTATAACCGGCTGGTCACACACATCTCAATTAAATTCCCTAGGCTACTGTTTTCCAAGTCTTGTCCTGTGAGTAAAGTATGCGTGAGAAAGTTTTAATAAAATAAATGTATATTTTTGAATTTTCTAAATTTAATCTGAGAAGTAAGTAAAACAAACTGCAACCTATAGTAACAACTATAAACAGAACCCCTAATGTCTACTAACAAATTTCTTCTAGTCCTAATATGAGCCTTGTCTCTAAAAACCTAACTGAACTAGCGTTTCGGTGTGTGCAAAAGCTTTAAGGCATGCGCATTCCTTGCCCCGTTTGTTACCTGTCCTTCCAAACCCAAACTAGCAGTCAAGGACAAATTTAGAGTTAACATTTGCTGACCGAAATAACAAAAAATTATGGAGTGTAATGAATTATTAACCTCAATTTTATTTACCTCAATGTTGTATAGTCAATTTTGTGAAAATCGGTTAACCTCAATTATTAAAAAAAGTTAAGCAGCTACAAATATGTGAATAGCAGCAATGTTTTTGTCATCAAAAATTATATTGATTTAGAAAATAATATTTTGGTCGATGTTTTTGACCCCTTAACCCCCCCCCCCCCCCTCTGGCCTTAATCTTCACTTCTTCACCTTTCCATGGACCTAGCAAAAGGAGGGGGAGATCTGTGAACTCTCGTAGTCAGGAAGTGAGAACTGAATAGCCGGAGCCTCAACCATGAGTGAACAGATTCCAGATTTATATATTTTTTAAGTAAAGTAAAGTAAAGTAAAGTAAAGTAAAATTTATGACATCACATCATCACACATGTCTACAAACTATCATCGCACTGTGTGAAAAAATATATAATAAATATTTCCCCACCAACATTAAATAATTATCAAATACAATATTTAAAAACAATTTCATCAAAAACATTATCCTATTTTTAAAACTTCCCAGTGGAATAAAGATTTATAAAACGCTTCTTTGCCACATAAGGATGGAACCAAAGATAATTGTTATGTTTCTCTTTATTACTGACATAACTGGCTCCCTCAATTCTTACTAAAACTTCATTAGAAATATTCCAAAAAAAGCAATCATTTGTAATACTTTTAGAAATCATATCTATCTTATATCCTTCTAATTTAATTTTAAAACCTAAAACTGTCACAGAGTTCTTGACGTCCGGAGGGAGTTTGTTCCAATATGGAATAACTCGCTCCGGGAGAAAAGACTTCTGGATATTCTTGACCTTTGTCACACTTTTACTACATCTATTGGATGAAACCAGATTAAGACCTGATCTGCTTGGTCTGAACAAGTCTGAACCATAATCAGTCATAGCATTAATAACCTTAAAAGCTTCAATAAGGTCCCCACGTATTCGCCGCTCTGCCAGCGTTGTCAAATTGAGGATTTCCAGTCTACGGCTGTAAGGAAGAGTACCCACCTCATCAATCAGACGGGTAAACCGCCTCTGGACGCTCTCCAGCTCCAAAACAGTCCCCCAACTTCCATGAGCCGCAGGTGGATTCCACAATTGGACACAATACTCAAGATGAGGTCTTATTAAAGCTTTATATATAGCAATCATAACAACCTTTTCTC